CTGTCCGACACTGAAAATCCGTTGTATTGTAAAATTCGTTATATCAAAATTCGTTGTAGAAAGAGTTGACTGTATATTAGAATTAGAGTTAGAATTAGAATTAGAGTAAATCTTTTATTTTTGTTAATATATGAGGCATACTGCAATAAAACCAGATAAAATGAACATTTTATTATGTAATATAAATGAGAGGCTGATTATGATATGACTATAAAATTGATCTACATGATTGATGATATTTGAAAAGTAATAATAGTGCTTGTTCATAACTTATGGACTTGTTAATTTTAATGTTCACTTTATCATACCAGAATGTGATGAATATAAATCATAACATGATTAAATAGGATTATCTCTATATATAAAAATATTAATATAAAACTAATTTATATCAGATCTACTATGGAACTAAAGAATTATAGTACTATTAGAAGCATTCTAAAAAAAGCTTAAGGTGAAAAAATCACACCTTATATCTTCAAAATTAATTAATTCCTTAATTTTTTTTCTTTTTTCCTAATAAATAGACAAAAACTTCTATTATCAATATTATTATTATTCCTCTTAAAATGTAAGATAAGTAATTAGTTAGGTAGGTTAATAATAATTGTTTTTGCTTTTTCTCAGCAATTATTTGTTTAAATTTAGAATAGGATAAAGAGGTTTTTTTATTATTTTTAAATAATTAAATATTTATTTTAATTCAGCTTTATTATTATTATTATTATAATATTTAATTACTAGTTTATTATTACTATCAAGAATAACATTTTTTATCTCATTTTGAATAAAAAATTGTTTTAATTGTTTCAAATCAGAAAGAGAAAAAGCTTTTTGCTCATTTTCATTAAACTCATAAACATTTTTATTTTTATTAATATCCTTTGGTATTGGTGATTCATGAGGAATAGAAAGAGGTGTTTCTTCTTTACTTTGAGAATTACTATCTTTTTCTAAGAGAAAAACTCCTTCTCTTTTTTGGATTAGATTTTCCTTCTATATTAAACTTCCTTCTTAATTCATTCATGAACTCCTTTTCTTTTTGTAATCTTATTTTTTTATATTTTTGTTTTGCTGATTTAACTAACTTGTCTTTTAATTTTTCAGATACTTCTTTTAACTCTTTTTTACCTAATTTAAGAATATCTTCAAGAGAGTAATAATTAGGATTACCAAGTTTTTTTATCACTCAGCTAGTATTTCACTGTACTAAAATATTAATTTCTTTCATAAAAAAAACCTTTTTATTATTACCATCTTTATCTTTAACAACTTTTCTTTCTTCAATAAACACTTTTTCTATTTTTGACATAGTTTTTCAATCAAAAACATTTTTAGCATCCTTATAATAAACAAGATTTTTAAGACTTTAGTAGAAACAAAACTGAGTTTAGGTAAATTAATAAGATTTAATTCATTTAGACTATTATTTCTGCATAATTCAAATTCTTTAATGCTTCACAACTATCAACATTCAATATTTTTAGTAAACTGTTAAAATCAATAGAAGCATTAGCACAATATAAATCTTTTAAGTTTTTTTAGTTCACTACAATCCAATTTTTTCAAATTGTTATAATAATAAAATAAGTTCTCTAATTCTGTTAAATGCTTTACTTCTAGTTCTTCAATTTGATTTTCATAGCAGTAAATATGCTTTAATTTTTTATTATTAGTCAAATTTAAACTACTTAAAATATTTAAACTAACATTTAAATACTTTAAATCAGCAAGATTAGTTAAATCAAGTCCAAGGCTACTTAGATTATTGGAAGCCAAATTTAAAGTATGTATTTACTCTGCTAATTCCAAAAATCCTAAGCCACAATGCTTAATATATAATTCTTTTAATTCCTTATATGTATTAACATCTAAAAAATCAATTCCCTCTTCATTTTGATAATTATTTGAACAATCCAAATATTCCAATTTCTTATACTCATATAAATCCAAATCAGTTAGTTTATTATTACTACAATCTAAACTTTTTAAATTAGTAAATCCTTCTAGTAATAAATCCCCTTATAAACCTAAAGAATTAAGATCTAGTTTCTTCACTTCACTTTTTTTTATCAAGAATATACTTAACATCTAGTTAAGTTTGAGCATCATTATTTACCCTACTTCTTTTTATTGTATCTTTTAATTCAAAATCATCTAACCTATTTTTCTTCTGAATAGTTAAAGGGTTACTACTATAAGAAATAGTTCTTAAATTTTTACTCTTTAATTCTTTAATTGAAAAGTCTCATTTAGTTAATTAATTATTATGGATATAGATTTCTTGAACAGAAGGACAATTCTCTATCTTTAACTTAGTAAGTTTTTTATATGCTACTTGAACTAATTTTAAGTCAGAGCAATTGTAAATAATAATCTCTTCTAATTCATTATTACCAAAATTTAATTGAGTTAAATTAGAAAAATTCTCTATTATTACTTTACTAGTATAGCCTTATTGAATAAAACAAAGAGTTCTAATATTTTTTTTAACACTAGTTAAATTGTTAAAATCCTTTTCTTCTTATTTAGCCTTTATTCTTAACCAATTATTTAATCAATAAGGGTTTTTATATTCTTGGGAATTTGTCATGAAAAAGAGTTACATATTTTATTATATTTGCATATATAAATATATTTTAATACATTTATCTTGGTTTTGGACAAGTAATATCTTTAAATTTATCTCTAACAAATGGACAAATATTCTAATAAAGATATTCCTGTTTTATATAATCCAAAGAAGGTGGTGTTAACACTAAAATAGATAAAGTTCTAATTTCTTCAAAAATATCTGATTTCTTGGTTTTCAATAAACTAAATTCAGCAAAAGGTCCATTAGCAACTTCTTGAACTTTTACTATACCAATATTAGTTGCTTTAAAAAGAAAATATTGATATTTCTGGATGCTTGGTAATTTCTTAAAATAAATTCTTAAAATATATTTGATATTTTAGTATTAAAAACTTTTTCATTTTCATAATATTAAGCTTTATTCAATCCTACTGGACTTGATTTTTTTACAACTTTACAACATGTTCACATAATCTATACTTGTTTTTCTATAAAGTTTTTTAATCAATATAAAACTACCATCACATTTGAATTTAGTATACCTGGTAATCATAAAATTCAATTTAACACTTTCATAATATTTACAAATTACCAAATATAAATAAAACCAAATTATTACATTATTTTATTTTGACTGCCTATATTATCACAAGTAATCTTTAAATACTTTTCACCTTTATTTAATTTTTTGATTTCATCAAAAATCATACTAAGTATGCCATTGGGCCCTTTTCCTATAATTTTATCTTCATTAAGAACATAATTGATTTGTTCTTTTACTGTTTGAATATCAAATAAATGAACTTTACATGGACTAAGATAATAGATTTTACTTACTTATTGATCTAAATGTGACACATGAACATTTTGGGCTCAATCATAACTATAATGAGCAGTATTATCAATACTACAATGCTGTATTTTACCCTTTGAATAATGTTGATTAACTAATTTTCTTTGTTTTTCTACTAATTTGGTATTTTTATTATAATAATTTCTTTCTAATTTTACCTTAAACAGATGTTCTTTAAATCTTTTGATTAATTCTTTAGCTTCTTCCACTTGGCGAGCATTATAATATAAACCATTTCTAAAATGTTAACAAGTATTATACAGATCAGTCCTGAGACTTATAATTTGAATTTCTAATATTAATTGATGTCATAATTTTTTGAAGGTATCATATTTTAAGTATTTCAATTTGCTATCTTTTTCTAAACCAACCAGAAAATCTCTGTATATAGATTTATAACTCATTTCAGCTGGTAAGAATATAATTGATTGAGTTATTCTATTGATACTTCTTTCTGGACTTGGCAATTCATAGACTTTAGCATAATTTTCTAGAAAATTTTTTACTACTTCTGCAACATTTTTATCAATTACTATTTTAATTTTCCATTGAGGCATTCTTTTAATATTACCATGAGTTCTTAGTAGAAGACCATTATTTATCAGATAATTTCTAATATTTTTAAAATAAGTTTTACCAATTCCCAACATATTAAGATAAGTTTCTTGACAAAGAGGTGTATTGTGATCCCAGTGATAGAAAGTTTATTTATTAGATCTGATTTTCTTTTTAAGACGTCTACTAGTACTTATTGATCTACCATCTATTGCTTTAAGTTGAGCCATTAAAAATATATCTTGTTCAGACTTAGAAAGTGCTTAAAAAGATTTCCTTAATTCTGCAAATTCTTCCTTGAGAATTCTTAAAAAACAATCACATTTACAACCTTTTTCTAAAAAATTAATTACTTTTTGATATTCATTAGAACTATTATATGTATTATTACTTTTTATATACACTTATCCCTATATATATAATTTTATATTTACTTTGTATTATTTTTATATTAATAGTTTTAAAATAATTTATTAAAAATAATTTCTTTTATTAATTTTTCTTTTCAATACAAAAGTCCTTTAAATGTTTATTTTACATATAAATAGTAAAAACAGATAATTCAGATAATTGTAGATGTTAGTGTCTCTCATATCAACTTTTAAAGTTAATACTTATATACACAATGTGCAATGACATAAAAATCATGTTTTATTTGATTGAGGTATCACTTGCTCTTTCACAATTTAATCATTTTTCAAATATGTATACATTTGTATATTATCAAATTTTTCATTATGCCAAAAATGGACAATAATGAGTTCTTGAATTTTCTGTTCTTTAGATTGATACATAGGATTCTCTGCCTTATAATATCTATTCTTACAAGTAAAATGCATAATCCAAATTATAGTAGTAGCCAAGTTGTTACTATAGGATAAAGCATGATTAAAATGTTCTTCTAGATTTGATTGATTAGCTGTGATAATAAGCTTTAATACAATATTTTCTTTATTACTATTGATTATAATGTCAATATAATGATATATATAATCTTTATCCTGACTAACTTCTGTCAAGTGCCATTATCCAGTAATAGTATATAAAATAAGCCAGTTTCTTAAAATCCTTATTAATTCCTGATCATAAGTGCTTTCTCTAGAAATTTTTCTTCCACTTTTACTATTAATAGGTATAGTTGCTTTCTTGAAACAATATAAAGATACAAGACAAATGAAATTTATATCAAAAAAAGTAACAACTACTTGAAGCATCTTAAGGATATCAATTTCTGATATCTATTAAAAGGAATTTTACTTTGAGATGCATGTGAAAATAATTCTAAAAGAATATCCATTTTGAAGTATATATCAACAAGAGGGGATGATAATCTAACTATGTTTAAGGAACTATCAGCAGGTGTTAAGACACCTTCTGCTATCAAGAATTCTATCAAACAATTATACTGATCAGGAACTTCTGTGAATTTTACAGCATCAAAAAGGTACTGGTGAAGAAACTTTACAGCTTCTATGAAATGAGGTTCTTTGAGTTTATTAATCATCTTATAAAATGTTTAGTATCCCTTTATCTCTTGTGATAATTAGTGCTCCGAGCTAGTCGAGTTGACCCGGGTTGATCGACCCGACTCAAATTTTTTCTCGAGTCAGATTTATCATTTTTATGACACGAGTCCTAATTCGATAAAACCCATCGGGTCAGGGTCATGTTTTTCCTTGACCTGGGTGACCTGGGTGACCCGAATGATCAGTGATCTAAATTTTCGTAATATAA